GCACCTGTTGAGAGGGAGAAGAGAACGACCCCCACCTGGCTACAACCTCCTTTCAGGTAGTTGTAGAGATCAATAAGGTCTCCCCTCAGCCTCCTCTTCTCCAGACTAAACAACACCAGCTCCCTCAGCTGCTCCTAGTAAGACTTGTCCTCTAGACCCTTCACCAACTTCGTTGCCCTTCTTTGGGCACGGTCCAGCAGCCCAAGTGCTTGCCAGTGTGCCTGGTCTTGCTAAGGGGATGAAGACCTCAAAAGAAGGCCTTGTGCCACAGGAAAATTTAGAAAGAAAATATGGAAATAGCCTACCTAAGCCAGCTGCTTGCTGCCCAGTTTGCCATGAGGGTGTAATGCAAAACTTGGTGTGACTGAGGAGGAATCCCCAGTGGGGATTTCTGGAGAACATGCTCTAGGATGCCCCATCACGAGACAACGACAGTGTGGCTATAGGGATGTTGCCAAAGCTCAATGGTCACTCTCTATACCAAACCAGAGATTAAACTAACTGTGAGAATACAATATGCACAACACACGCGTATTATTCTTGTATTTATACATGGAAAAATTCTAATGCAATGTATTATTCCTCTGAGGTTTTATGCCATTTTGTTCTTTCAGTTACAGTACAGCAGCCCTGCCCTGCATAACTCAGACTGTAATTTGAGCAGTAACTTTTACGCTAACACCACGTACGCAACAATCAGCAATGGCTTATCATATTGGGAGAGTAAGGACAACCGCAGGCTGTCTATAAGCTGTCGGGATACAGTGAGAGAAATCTCACCGCACATCTCAGCCTGCACACTGTCCCCCTTAAAGTTCAAAATGCTCTGGGGGCAGGACTCCATCCAGAGGGAAGGTGTAACAAAGATCACAGACCTGAATGAAGTGCAACTAAAATATAGACTATCAGGTACAGCTCTACATTAGGCTGCAAATAACTGCATTTTCTAGTGCGCTTGTTATCTTAAATAAGCATCTTGAATAATTACTCACACAATTCAAAGGAATAAAATCAGGTATTCTTGGCCAAGTTAGCTTGGTGTATCACTGAGTAATTTGCCTCATTTTATCTACTAATGGCATGTCTAGAAATAAGAAAAAGCTGAATTTTAACCTTGAAATATGAACTCTACAGACCCGTATTTCAGTGTATGCATTGTAAGCCCACACCAGGGAATACTTTCAAAAATAAAAATAAATTTCCAAACTTTGAATGCACTTTAAGGGTCAAAAAGCAATGGGAACAAATGCATTATTTAATCATAAAAAACACACTCGATTCAGTGCAAGGCTGAGAAGGGAGCTTAGGCTCCCAGAGGCAAGTGAAGCGAGGACTGCTCAGAGGGACTGCTGCGAACAGGACTGGAGCTGAGCCTTCCCTCAGCCCTGCCTCTGCATGGGAGAGGTGGGGAGGTCGAAGAGCTGGAGAAGACAGGCAGCTCTTAACAAGAACGAGCTGCGATTTTCTCAGGAACAGTGAAGCAGAGAGGAAAAATGGTGGAAAACTTCTTGCTTACAAAAAATGAAGCCATTATTCAAAAATTACAGTCTCTGTGTTTCTCCTTCATCCTCATGAAGAGTAAGGTCCATTTCTTACCTGACTGACACAGGCTCTGCTCTCATTACCTTGACTCAAAGCTAACAGTAACTTTTAAAAAATGCTCACAATAATCAGCAGCTATAGTATGCTTACCCTGAGGTAGTTGAGGGTGAAGTTTGTCAGACCCATTCGAGTGATGTTTTTGGACAGCTGCTCCAGCACCTGAGGGTCTTGTGCCTAAACAACAGAGGAAAAAAGAATTTTCACTTGGCTTTTTGTCTATTTGTTTTTCTCTATGTGCTTAGTGGAGTGCAGGGAGGGTTCTTTGAAGAGAGATGCCATTCCTATGGAAAAAATACACATTGATACTAAATTTATGTCATGAGCTACAGAGTTCTGTTTGCACATAAAAATGCAAAGCCTTATGAAATTGGAGCAGAATAAAACTGTTTTCCAGTATGTTCTTTCTGTCCCTACCCATTCAAGAGAGAGACCTAGGAGGTCCGGTCATGCACCAGGGTGCAAGCGAGCAGGGCCCCACCAAAGAGCTTCCTGAGGGATCAGAGTACACTTTGAGCCTTCCATTTGTTGGCTGGGAGTCCCAGCAGACTAAGCAGATAAAGGCAGGAATAAAGATGTCTTTTTCTTTTTGTGGATAAGAAACTGAAGCAGAGAGAACTCATCAAGGCACCTTCAGCAGAGCTGATCACGTAAGTGGCATTAAGCACAGGCTGGAGAACCCTTCTGGTCTAAGTTATTTTCCCAGAATTAAACAGGAAAAATGCAAGCACTGTCTTTCTCTGACCCTAGCCAGGAGCTTCACCTGTGAGACCAGCCTCCTCTTTAAAATGAGATCAATCTCATTACTAAAATTAATACCTGCTGGTTGCTGCCTAACCTGGCCTACTCTCTTTGAATTGCAGCCCTCTAAATCCATATTGTTGCTCATGGCCATCCTTGTTGTCCCTTAATGGGATACTGTTGAAAAGTTCAGAAGATCAGCCCTCTAAAATAACTCAGAGAGAGAAACGGTGGGGCAGATTTTCAAAGGTATTTTCTTCAGGCCTGTAATACAATTTTCAGAAGAGTCCAGGCTGCTTAAGTTATTTAAAACTCCTCGCTAAGAATGTATCTTTATCTATGTATATCTAAGTAACTTGATGTCAAAATATGGGCACGTATTTGGGCCTGTGTTCTTACGTTCTATAAAACCAGTCCTGCAAATAATTTTGTATATGGAGCACTGCTAATCTGAACGATTCTACAGTGCAGAACTGAAAGTCGCAATAAGACTCTGTCCTTTGTTTCTCCCCAACGATTTACTTTATAAGAGTTCGACTTCAACCTGTAGAGTATTTAATATTTTAATATTCCATTGTGTGTGTTTTCATACAATTAAAAAAAAAAAAAAAGTCTTGAAATGTGAAAAAAGAAGATCTCGATTATAATTCTAAGGGTTTCCAAGTAAATACATGGTAATTGCTTCTTTTCTGTCTCATACAAGGGTAACAATGCTTAATTTAAAGACTAAATATAATTCATACCTACAATGATGAAAATTCACTGAATTTAGTGTAGTTCAGATCAATAAGAACAGATTATGGGCCCAAATCATACAGACCACTAAATGGGATTAAAAGGAAAACTGTGTGCTAAAACAAAATGAAAACATAGCAACAGTGGCAACAATAGAGCACTGAGAAACAAGGGAGCGATGAAAGAACTTGTAAATGGATGCGGTTGCAGGCAAAACAAAATATTTATAGTTAATTGCCTTGGGTGTGAAATTTGCTGGAATTCTTCATAAACCTAATCTCATCTCTTTGCATTAGGTCAAGTGAAAAAAGGATTACTTACATGCATGGCTAGAATGCTGCGTGGGACTAATTCTCTGTACTGTCTAATAGTAAAGTGCCATGTTTTTATTCTCATAAGATCATCAAAAGTAAACTCCAAGATAAGACGTCCTTCTGTGCATACCTAGAATACATAAAATGCATGAAATAAATTCCCAGGAATTTTGTTTGCAATGGTATTGTATCATCGATTAAACAACATTCAAAAATATCAGAGCAGCATTCTATTGTTCATCTCTGCTAGATTAATTGGTTTTTTTTCTCTTGGGGAGAAAAAACGAATATGGGAAAATGACTTCATAGGCCTTACCGCAGAGACAGTAACTTATAATACTATAGATTTTATAGCATTTTACAAACATAGAATATTGTGCGCTAAA